GGAGAGGTTGGAGAAAATCATATTCCAGAACAGTGGGAACCAGAATCTGGGAGGTAGAGCTGGTGGAGGGTTGCTAGGAGAACTAAGATGACCTGAAAACTGGTGTCCCCAAGGTAAGTGGCAGCTGCACTGGTGCATTTCCCAGTGGTGGGAGTGTTTTTCCCCAGGATGAGCATCTGTGGTGTATGGGTGGTGAAAAGGGAAAGGGATGAAGGGAGCATGGGTAATGCAGTCTCCAGGGCTGGGAAGCTACAAAGAGTAAGCCTAGAGCTGGAAGGCAGTGTCCCACCCAGAGTGAGCTGCCAGACACCAGGCCAGGGACAGTGCCACAGAGACACCTGCAGGCCTGGCCTGTGCTGCTGTGTGAGATCACTTTGTGGGCAATGCCCAGGATTTTGTTAATAAAAAATAAAACGGCAAGGTGACACATGCTTGTCATCCCAGTTACTTGGGAGGCTAAGGCAAGAGGATCACTTGAGCCCAGGCGTTTGAGGTTGCCATGAGCTATTACACCACAGCACTCTATCCAGGGCAACAGAGTAAGACTTTGTCTCAAAAATAAAAAATAAAACAGAAAAGGATAGAAAATGTTAGGGTGCTGCACAAAATAAGAGTATGTGTTATCAGGAAATTTTCATATACACTGCATGAATAAAGGATCACAATGTAAACTTTTTTTTCTTTTTAGACAGAGTCTCACTATGTTGCCCTTGGTAAAGTGCTGTGGTGTCACAGCTCACAGAGGCCTCAAACTCTTAGGCAAGCAAGTCTCTTGCCTCAGCCTCCCAAGTAGCTAGGACTACAGGTGCCCACCACAACACCTGGCTTTTGTTGTTACTGTTGCAGTTGTCATTATTGTTTAGCAGGGCCAGGCTGGGCTTGAATCCACCACCCTTGGTGTGTGTGGCTGGCACCATAACCACTGTGCTATGGGTATCAAGCCCACAATGTAAACTTTTTAAAAACTTATTTTTATTATGGTAAAATACATATGTATAACATAAAAGTTATTTTGAACAATTTGAAGTGGGTAATTCAGTGACATTTAAGTACATTTACATTGTTATGCAACCACCCCCACCACAAATTTCCAAAATTTTGTCATCACCTCAAACAGAATGTGGTACACAATGTAGTCAGTAATGTGGACCATCATTAAAAACATTTGGGGCTAATAAGCACACAAAAGATGCTCAGTGTCACTAATAACCAGGTAGGGAAATGCAAATCAAACCCACAGTGAACCACAACCTCACATTCATCAGGACTGCCGTTGTTAAAAAACAGAAACACCAAATGTTGATGAGGATGCAGGCAAAGTGCAGCCCTTCCGCACTGTTGGTGAGAATTTGAAATGGTGCACCCACTTTGGAAAACAGTGCATGGTTTCCTTTAAAAATTAAACAGGCTCGGCGCCTATAGCTCAACCGGCTAAGGCGCCAGCCACGTACACCTAAGGTGGCGGGTTCGAATCCCCAGCCCGGACCCGCCAAACAACAATGATGGTTGCAACCAAAAAATAGCCGGGCGCTGTGGCGGGTGCCTGTGGTCCCAGCTACTTGGGAGGCGGAGGCAGGAGACTCGCTTGAGCCCAGGAGTTGGAGGTTACTGTGAGCTGTAATGCCACGGCACTCTACCCAGGGGGACAGCTTGAGGCTCTGTCTCAAAAAAAAAAAAAAAATTAAACATAGAATTCCCTTAGGGTCCAACAATTCTGCCTTTAAGTATAGACCCAAAAGACTCGAATGCACAATCTGGAAGAAATACTTGTACACCCGTGCTCACGGCAGCAGCATCCCCAAAAGCTAAAACACAAAAGGAGCAACTCCAGAGTCCTTGACAGATGAACAGAAAAGTAAATGTGGTGTCTACAATGAAATGTTTTTCAGCCTTCAAAAGAAAGGAAATTCTGACACATGCAGCAGCATGGCTGAACCTCGAGGGCATTGTGCTCAGTGAAATAAGCCACAAAAGTCTGAGTAAGTCACAAAAACACGAATATTGTGTGATTCCACTTATGTAAGCTTCCTAGAGTAGTCCAATTCATAGAGCTAGGAAGTATTAATAGAATGGTGGTTGCCAGGGAATAAGGGTTAGAGGAATGGGGAGTTACTGTCTAATGAGTACAGGGTTTTCATTTTGCAAACAAGAAAGAATTCTGGGCTGAGGCTCAGTGGCTATACCTATAACCACCAGCATTCTGAGAGTCCACAGTGAGAGAGTCACTTGAGACCAGGAGCTCAAGACCAGCCTGAACAGCATAGCAAGACCCTGTCTCTACATAAAAATAGAAAAATTAGCCAGGCATGGTAGCATGTGCCTGTAGTCCCAGGTACTCAGGAGGCTAAGGCTTGAGCCCAGGAGTTTGAGGTTGCAGTGAGCCTGGGCAACACAGGCAGACTCTGTCTCAAAAAAAGAAGAAGTTGAGCGGTGCCTGTGGCTCAAAGGAGTAAGGCACTGGCCCCATATACGAGAGGTGGCAGGTTCAAACCTAGCCTCAGCCAAAAAAAAAGAAGAAGAAATTCTGGAAATGGATGGTAGTGATGGTTGCACAACATTATGAATGTAATACTAATGAACTGTACACTTAAAAATGGTAAATTTCATCTGCAGTTTACCACATTCAACAAAATTGAGGGGAAAAGCATCGAAAGGGACCGTTCAGTGATCTAGAAGAGGGCCAGTATCTGGGGTTGTGCAGAGGACAAGATCTCACAGGACAGGGGCCTGGGAGAAATCATTTGGATTCTAAGGCAATGCTGTATCCCCAAGAATGATTCTAGGAGCCATGACACAGAGAACCATAGTGAGTCTGGTTCTCAAACTTTCAGACAGTAAAGGGGTCTGCAGAAATGGCAGAAATCATCTATGTGCCAGAGACAACTACCACACAGAATTGGATATTTAGGTAAGTCAAGTTTAATATTATGGGGCCACTAAGGATATTTATAAAAACTGCAATAACTCGAGAAAATGCTCCTTCAAAAAGCAGAATACGGCTCCGGGGCCTGTGGCTCAAGTGGCTAAGGCACCAGCCACCTACACAAAAGGTGGCGGGTTCGAATCCGGTCCGGGCCCACCAAACAACAATGACGGCTATAACCAAAAAATAGCCGGGCGTTGTGGCAGGTGCCTTGGTCCCAGCTACTAGGGAGGCTGAGGCAGGAGACTCGCTTGAGCCCAGGACTTGGAGGTTGCTGTGAGCTGTGATGCCATAGTACTCTACCCAGGGGGACAGCTTGAGGCTCCTGTCTCAAAAAAAAAAAAAGCAGAATACAAAATTATATAAACTTTAAATCACAATTAAGTTTTTTTTCCCAACAAAGAACAGGATTAAAGATATTTGCAATAAAAAAACCCAACAAGACTTAATATTTACAATAATCAAAGAACTTTGAAAATTCACAAGAAAAAGGAAACCTGGTAGGAAACTGAAGGAGACCGGAAAAGGCAAAAAGTTAATGAAGGGATCCTTAAACTCATCTAAAAAACGCTTCTTAAAATCCATGAGATCCAAGCTAGGGGCAGCAGCGCGCCTGTAGTCGGGCAGGCTGAGGGCAAAGGATCGCTTGAGCTCAGGAATTGAAGGCTGCACGGTGCCTGTGAACAGCCACTTCACTCCAGCCAGAGCAACGCAGCCCTGTCTCTAAACATACAGAAATAATTAAATAAATATCCTGAGCTAGAGCAAGACCCGTCTCTACTAAAAATAGAAAAACTACTGGGGCGCCTGTACTCCCAGCTACTTGGGAGACTGAGGCAGGAGGATCCTTGAGCCCAACTGAGGTTGCTGGGAGCTGTGATGCCAGGCACTGTACCCAGGGTGACAGAGTTAGGCTCTGTCTCAAAAATAAATAACAAAGGTCATTGACATCCCACTTTGCTGCCAGGATGTTTGTGGAAGCAGGAAGTAGGAGGCATCTAGGAAGAATGGCTAAGTAAATCGTGACAAATCTAAGAAGCTATATCTAGCTGCAAGTTAAGTGACGAGCAAGGTGCCCACCCAGCGGCACCAGAAGTCTTTACAAAAACAGTGGATTGCAAAAGAAACAGCACAGGTCGCCAGGATGCAAACGCTTATCACAACTTACATAGACTGAGACCTCAATCGTGTGGGTATTTTTAAATTGTGTAATTTAAATACCAAATTATAGAGAAAAGATGTGGGACCACGCAGACAGTAATACTAAAGGCGGGGGGGGGGCGTTGTCTCCCCCGCGGGAGTCCACCGGGTTCGACCTGGGGGTCCTGGAGGAAGCTGGGGTCCAGATCCAGGGCCGGCAGTTCGCGGGGGTCACACGGGGGCCTGGCCACTGGGTTCAGAGAGAGTGGTTGGGACAGATGGGCGCGAAGGACCCGCATTCCGGGGACCCGGTCAGCGCTGGGCACCAAGTGCGCACCGCCCGCTGCCTTCCGCCGCCGCTGCCCCCGGACCGGCCGGACATACACAGCCCTCCCCGAGAGGGTTGCGGGCCCAGCAAGTCCCCAGCGCGCGCACGCGTGCCGGAAACAGCATGTGACTCTGGGGCCTCCCCAGCCGCCGGTCTCCCACTGTCCCTGACCCCACGTGCCAGGTCCCTCCGCAGGGCCAGCCGCGCCAGCGCCTGCGTGCTGCGCTCCGGGCCAACCCCGCCTCGCCAGCACCACCCCACGCGGCCCCGTCTCCGCATCCTTCGGTCCTTACAGGCTGGCTCCGAGGCCGCGCCCGGGCATCCAACCAATAGGAGCGCAGCGCGCTCCGCGGCACGTGCGTTCCGCCCCGCCCAGCCCAGTGCGTGCTCGCTGAGCTCAGCGCCGCGGAGCGCGCAGGGCGGAGGCGCGCGAGGAGGGGCGGGGAAGAGGCGGGGCGCGGGCGCTGCGGTGCTGTGATTGGCCGGTGCCGCGTTCCGAGGCCGTTAACGGCGGCGGGGCTGAGCCGCGGCTCCAAAACAAAGGGCAGGCGGCCCGCGGGGCGGCGGCGGGAGGATGCCTCGAGCCCTGCCGAGGTGCCAACGGCCGCAGCGCGTCCCGGGCCGCGCCGGGGCTGCCTGAGAGCAGAGCCCGCGCTGACCGAGGCCCGGGCCGGATGGGCGCTGCGGGCCGGGGCGCGGACCGCCGAGCGGCCGTGAGTACGGGCGGGCCCCGATACAGTTGCGCGGGCGGTTACTTTGTGGCGACCCGCGGCTGCTGTGGCTGCGGGCCAGCCCGGGAAGCACCTGTTGGGCATCTGGGTGGGCGGCGGCGCGAGCGGGGCTGACCGACCTGTCGACTTTTTTGTTCTGTTTTGATTTTTTTGATTTGTTGCTGTTTGGATTACCCCGTCTTGGAACAGATCACAAAGCCTAATCTTTGATTTCTCCTCCCTTCCCTTTCTTCTCTCCATCTCCCCGCCGTACCCCCTACCACGAAAAGATTTACAGAAAATGGGCCATATACCTAGTATTTCAATTGTTGGGTTTTCCCTTATTAAAAAATACGGTTGCAGTTGAAGAATATGAAGACAAAAAAGGTCTTCTAGGAATGTTTATTAAAATGGGGAGGTCTTCAAGTTGCCCACATAAAGGCCATGACTAAAAGGAACTGTCCTCAGTATTTTCCACTTGTGGCACTAGGCTTTATTAACGAGGAGAGTGCAGAAGCCTGAACTTGGAACCTACCAAGTAGGGACCTGCCTTAGCCTTGCCTGCCTCTGGTTGACATCTTTGATGTCCAAATTATGTGCTAAAATAAACTGAGATTCTATTTTCAGTAATGGACATGGAAGACATCAATATCCCCACCCCAAGCCTTTTCTGTCCAGTTGTGTTCCTCCTTCCTCTGTCTGAAAGGTATTTACCTACCCAGTGTAGTCCCAGCTGTTCCAGAGGCTGAGTTGGGAGGATCTCTTGAGCCCAAGAGTTCAAGACCAGCCTGGGCAACACAGCAAGACCCCATCTCAAGAAAAAAACAGTAGGCTGGGTGTGCTGGCTCACGCCTGTAATCCTAGCACTTGGGAGGCCAAGGCGGGTGGATTGCCTGAGCTCACCGGTTCAAGACCAGCATGAGCCAGAGCAAGACCTCTCGCAAAAACAGCTGGGTGTTGTGGTTGGCACCTATAGTCCCAGCTACCTGGGAGGCAAAGGTAAGAGAATCGCTTGAGCCAGAGAGTTTGAGGTTGCTGTGAGCTATGAGGCCACGACACTCTACTGAGGGTGACAAAGTGAGACTTTGTCTCAAAACACTAAACAAAACCAAAACTAAAATGCATCCACCTTCACATGCTTTTTCCTTTGGTAGGAATGTTATTTGTTCCACCCACCAGCCCCTGACTGCTCCCCAGGTCTGAAGGCTTATCTCCCCTGGAAAGATAAGGTGCTTTGCCCCTGAGCAAGCCATAGGTGGAAATGTTTCCTAAGCTTCTCCCCCATGCCTGGAGCTGTGCTTGGTCGGCCATCATTGAGTCTCACAGTCACATAGTGGTTCCCCTACCACCAGCTGTAGGCCCTTGGGCAACAGTCATGGCATGGTTGAGGAATGATGCTAAAGGCTAGACTTTGTGTCCCTTCCCCTTGCACTCCACATTATGGGAACCCCTCAGGGCTAGGACCGGGGCAAAATCCTATCTTGCTCTCTGCCACAGTGCACTTAAAAAAATTGGGTCTGGCCCAAATTTGGCATTTAAAAAAATAACTGATCTTAATTACCAAATTGAGCAATAGTCTTTCTGTTTTTAAAATAAACTTATTTTGGAATAACTTCAGATTGACATAAAAGTTGCAAAGACCTAGTTTCCCTGTTGTTACCACCCTGTGTTGCTACCATCACTTGCCAACATGAAAAAATTATTCTCTTTACTGAAGTCAAGGTACAAAGCCTTTCCACTTAGAAGTGCTGCGGGTTGTAAAGCATTCTCTGTGTTGAGAGCAGTGTGCAGTAGCATCTGTTCTTCTGCACCTACGTGTCCACACTCAGTCCCCAGGGGCCAGGCCACTGTTCACGTATGTTTCTCCCTGGGAGACTGATAACCTCAGTGGTCTTGAATGTGAAGAAGCAATGGCAGTTCTCTTGATTTTAAACTGTTCTCTGACACACTTCACTAGAGATCTGTTTGATTTAAAATCTGTTTTTGTGGTCGGCGCCTCTGGCTCAAGTGGCTAAGGCGCCAGCCATATACACTCAAGGTGGCGGGTTCAAATCCAGCCCGGGCCTGCCAAAACAACAATGACGGCTACAACCAAAAAATAGCCAGGCGTTGTGGCATGCCCCTGTGGTCCCAGCTACTTGGGAGGCGGAGGCAAGAGACTCGCTTGAGCCCAGGAGTTGGAGGTTGCTGTGAGCTGTGATGCCACAGCACTCTACCCAGGGTGGACAGCTTGAGGCTCTGTCTCTTAAAAAAAAAAAATCTGTTTTTGTAAGTAGTTCTGATAATCAGTGAAATTTCTAGGGAATGGAAATTTTGACAAAGGAGGAGGTTGAGTGGAGATTGGAGAAAGCTCTGCATAACCAGGATATAGAGAGCTCCAGAGCTCAGGGCTCTGGAGAGGGCAGTGTGAGTGGGGTGGAGGAAGGAAATTAAGAGGATGAAATCACCCCCCCCAGGTGACATTCCTTCTCTGTTAGAGACACTGAGGTAATGAGGACCTGTCAGCTGTGATATTAAAATGGATCCTGGAGCTAACCCGTTGCTGGCCACACCCCAGGAAGGGGTTAAGAGCCCCCTCCCACCAGCAGACTTCAGAGCCAGAGTTGCCAGTAGGCGCAGTAAGGTGCAGAGCTTGCTGACCCTGTGCCACGTGTGACACGACAGGATGCCACTGTCAGGAGGGACTTCTCAGGCATTTAAACAGCAACCAAAGAGCCACCCTCCTTAACTCTCCGGACTGCCCTGTAAATTGTGTGTTGCTCCATTTAACAGACAGGATAGCAGGGCTTGGCTTGAGGTCCCAGAGCCAACAAATACATGTGTATGGCACATTTGGAATCAAACCTTGGGAAGCCTCTGAACTTTGTCCCAATGGCGACAGCATCTCTCTTGTCAGACCTGCTTGCTTCCCTCTGGTGCCACTTCTTTCCCCAGTGTTGGTGGCACACTTAGCCTGTAGAGGTGCCCCCTTTCTGATGCCTTGTTGTAGCTCTGATTTTTCTGTTTGTCTAGGAAAGGGCTTAGTGTCTGATTAGGTTTTATTTAGCATGGGATTCAATGAAATAGTTTGATTCCCCACTTCTCTTCAGCATCAATCCAGTCTTCCAGGCCAAGTTCCTGCCCCTTCAGCAGAGCAGAGGGTGTTGCATATAGTCGCTGCATCTTCCTCCTCCTTGTTAGCAGGGAAGCAAGGCACCTCTGCTAGGATGTGTCCCAAGGACAAGGTGGGGGGAACTTTGTTACTAGTAGAAATAAATAAGAATGTATTATAGGTTCTTCAGAAAGAAAGATTCAGTGCAAACACATGGTCAGTAATTCCCAGGAGATGGCAGAGGCAGGACTAGAGTGCAGGCAGGAGGACAGATGGAAGACGGTAGTCTGGAGGGTTGAGGTGCCTGGGCCACCGGGCAGTGCAGGATCTGGGCCCCTTGGGTTCCTCAGAGAGCAGGAGCCAGTGAGGAGACCACAGAGGGCCAGGGGAGCTTTATCTCTGGGCAGCCATATAGGTGGCACGACTCCTATCCCAGTGGGTACCCTGACCCACTATGGCTGCAGTCCCTGAAATGTGCAGGACAGCTTTTCATCCTGTAATTCAGCAGGGAGGAAATGGATGTGTGTAGAAAGGGAAGCTAGATCCAGGAAGGCAAATTGTGCCTGCGCTATTGGCCTTTGATGTAACTCCTTCCAGGCTTTTCCATACCTGGGACTGCATGTACTCTGTGAGTTTGTAGAGTCAGTATATGTGCTTGGCATCAAAATCAAAAGGTACAGAATAGTAGACAGTGTAAAGGAAGTCACCTTCACTGCCCTCCTGTCTCCAGCCTGAAGCCGTGTTTCTGATACACATTCACCAGTGCACATGGCCAGTCTCTGTGGTTAGACTCAAGGTGCTTTCTGATGTTTTGTTATTCCAGGCATTAGAACAGCTCTTATCCAGTTATTTTGCATATGTGCCAGTTAGCCAAAAGGTAAACTCCAGAGAAAGACCCCCCCAGTCCACAGCCATGTACCCAGAAATGTTGATAGGTGTTGCCAAATGGCTGGGTCAGAGGATGCCCTTGCCAGTGGTGTTATCAACTTTTTACAAATTGTTGCTAGCCTGCATCGTATAAGACAGGAGTCAGTGTGCTTTCACCTTCCATCAGTGAAGTGACATTGAGCATCTGTTCACGTGTAAACTCTGGCTTTGACTGTAGGTCCATAGCTTACTGGCTGTGCAACCTTGTTCAGGGTTGTGGACCTCTCTGGGCCTCAGTTTCCCAATGGTGTGAGGAAACTAGCAAGAGCATAACATCCCTTACGATGGCTGTTGACTCACACCATTCCCGTATAGTAAATGGCACAGACTAGGGCTGTACTGGGTATGAGGCTCTGGGAACTGCGGCGTTTCCTTTTTGTGAGGTGGCAGTTTTATCCGTTGTCCATCTTCTGTAATGGTGGTGGTCTTTTCAGCTTTTTAATGCCAAGGACAGTGCCAGTGAGCAGTGGGACAGGCAGAGCCCACAGAGGAAGGCTTCTCTGTGCAGGGGGAAAGGCGCTACGAGAGAGCACAGGCAAGAAGCTGCTGGCCCAGGTGGCTCTAGAGGAAGCAGTGGAGCCGGTAGGCGGGTGGCACTGCCACCTTCTACCTGCCATCTCTTTCCTCCCAAGGGAGATGGACTTTGATGTCCCAGCACATGTTGCCTGTCTGGGACCCCACTTCCTGTATGCACTCTGGCTGAACCCAGCAAGACCACAGCAACAGTGTTTCTTCCCCACTCTCCCTGGAGCTCTGTCCTCCAGGATGTCAGCAATGTTTTCACCACAACCAGTGCACAACCCAGTTTTCAGCCTACTTTGCAAACTCTGATCCTGGTGCTCCTGTCCCTGTCTACCTGGTGCCTCCTTTTCCACCTCACAGAACCCTGAGGGGCTGGGGGGCACTGGGAGCCAAACTCACCTTCCAGGTATGGATGAGCTGGAGGAACGTGAAGCAGCCGAGAACAGGGGTTTTCAACCTTTTT